TCTGAAGAAAGCCTCTCCACCAGTACCCTGAATTTCTTTGACTTTAGAGGTCTGATAGCTTCACTCTTATCATTTCAGAATGATAACCTCTCCAGAAGAAAATTTTACTGCTTCATAATAAGTCATACAAATTACTTTCCACCATTACTTTTTAGGTCGATACTCAGGGAATTTCATCTTGTGTGTCACCATTCCATATGATTCCCCTAAAATTCATGAGGCGACTCGTTACTGTTTCTTCAGGGCGTCCTACCAAGCTCTCAGTGCAGAGTTTGCATTTTACAGTCTGAGCACATAACTGGAGCATGCAGTGAGTAGGGGGAATGGCACAGTCTGCATTTAACATCTGCATCTGGGTGTTAGCAGGATCTGCTGTAAAAGAGGAATAAACTCTTTTGGCCAACATTAGTGATGACTCTTACGAGGGAGACCAGCAGTCCAACCCTAAATATCCTGGGGGTCTTTGGGCAGGGTATTAAATGTACATTCTCTGAGAAGGGCTGGGAAGGCTACCAGCAAAACCATGTCCTTGTAGGAGCCAGATGCTCAGAAACACTGATTTCTTTGTATGAATGAAAATCAAATTAGGTGCTGCTTGCTCAGTGAGGCTGGTGGGCACTGCATGTCCAGGCAGTGCTGATCCAGCTCATCCTTGGGGAGCTGCTCTGTGCATTCCTGCTCCCTCCTCCTCCTCCTCAGCCTTCTCCAGGGGATGCTGTAGGCTGCTGTTTTCTACTCAGAGCAAGCAGCTGCTTCAGGAACAGCTGTAATGTTTTAAGATGTCATATATCAATGAGTAATTCTGTGATTTTAAGGCTTTAAAGTTTGCATTTTGGTGAGGACTGTGTCTCTGTTTGCTTTCTGATTGTGATTCTCTCCATGCCAGCTCTGTGCTGCTGCCTTTGCTTACTGCCAGGTCATGGCATTAAACTCATTAAATACAGGAAATTTTATACCAGGGACAAAATACCGTGTAAAAACCCATTACTATCCCATTGAAAGCAGCAGGGAAGACCAAGGTTACCACCTTTACGATCAGAAAGAGGTGGAACCTCAAGTATTTTTATTAAAGTCTCAGCTTACACTTTAAAATGTATTTTGTCAGGTAGCTATTTTTTAACTGCCATTTGGAATATTTTATAATTATGGTAAGTTGTGTAGTTTATATGGGTTAAGCCAAAGAAACTACTTAGAGACTTTAAAAATCAATATGTTTTCATAAAATGAATTACTTTTTTTCCCTAACCATGGACCAGGAAGCCAGTGAAACTACTGGAAATCTTGAGGAATATATATGCCAAACATAGGTGAAAAAATGACAGTTTTAAAATTTGAAATTCTGGAGGTCATCAGGAAAACTTGCCTTTTGATAAAGTATTTGGAAATTGATGGAAATTGTCCCACTCAGGTTGGAGCCTTCAGAAAAGTGTTTTGATTCTTCAGTAGTCTGGATGTGTAGTAATTTCTACGAGCTGAGAACTGAGACAAAAAACGAGTATGAAATTGAGCCAGAGTCAGATAAAAGCAGTGTGGGGAAGGCTGCAGTGTGACAGCACAAACCAAGGCATCCTTAGCTGATGAAAACACGTAAAGCCATGCAATTAAGTGCTTGTGGGGGAGAGTGCAGACACTACCACGGCACACATCTCTGATCTTTCCCAAAAGATCAGCGCACACCAAATATCTATTCCGTGTTTACTTACACACTGGTGCTCAACTTAACGTGTGGTTGGACATGGCTGTGCCAGTGTTTGAAGTCTGCAGGAGCTCAAGTAGCAAAAGTGTGTGAAATGAGGACATACATACCCAAAAAAAAGTGAGCTGCAGGTGTGTGGGTGAACTGAAAAACCCTGCTGGTGTTTATTGTGCTATCAGAGCAGTAACCAACGGGAGTTTTTGGGACATCCTAAATCTCAGGTGAGATGAGTAGAAAAAGATTCTATCTATCTGTCTATCTATCTGTCTGTCTGTCTATCTATCTGTCTATCTATCTATCTATCTATCTATCTATCTATCTATCTATCTATATCTGTCTATCTATCTATCTATCTATCTATCTGTCTGTCTGTCTATCTATCTATCTATCTATCTATCTGTCTGTCTGTCTATCTATCTATCTATCTGTCTATCATACATACATCCATCCATCCATCCATCCATACATACACATATAAGTAAAAATAAATACATATGTACATACACATATATCTATATCACAAATATATTAAAAAATACATGCTTAGGAACAAATTATATTACCATATAAATATGCTAAAAACAGGGAGAGAGAAGGAGCAAAAAATTAATGTCAGTATGACCAAATAGGCCAGAAAGTGTGGTTTGGCATATTAAATAAACTTCCTTAGAAGAACTGATTACCAGTGTTTGTTGAAATTTGGTAAAACCAGCTTGCCTTCAGGAGCATTGGAGCAGGTTTTAAAGTACTGAATTAGTGGAGTCAAGAAAATTTGTTCAGAAAAACCCCGCTTCAAATACATGCTAAGATTCAGTGCTACTTGCTCTTGTTTTAGAGAATGGGATTTGTAATTTGAATGTGAGATGAGTGAGGATTTGAAATGAAATATGAATTTGAACTGAAGTCTAGAAACATTCTTGAAAACAACAGAAAAGCTACTTCTCTGAGCAGAGTAGTAATTTGGGAATGCATGAGGTCTTCTGAAACATGGAGAGTAACATTTAAGATCTCTTCTATGAAGTTGCTTTTCATTCTTGCTCAGCTGCTTCACTCAGACTTACAATTATGTATGGATATTGATTTTCTAGTTCTTTAATTACTGTTTTGAACCCACCAAAAGTTAAATGGATGATGTGCCATATGCTAAACTCTCCATACAGGAAGAGTTTTCAAAAAATTACGTCTTAACAATCTAAAAATGCTATAAATATATCTTGGTGATGCTCAGATCTGGAACATTCCCATTATAGATACTTTATTTTTTTACATCCAGCATCAGATGTTAGCAGCATAAAGGCTCTTGGTGACGGAGGAAGTGGTGGGAACACTTGTGTGATGTGCAGTCTTAGTCTTTTGCTTTGGAATTGGGTGAGTTCTCCATGTTTCCATCAATGGAAACAGTGCTGCAAGGCTTGAGTTGTAAGTTCTCATTAAGCTAATTGCATCTCCCCATCTTTAAAATGTAGGAATGCAATTTCCACGGCACAGTTAGAGGAATTACTGTTTATTTCCTGGTAGTATTCTGATAAATGCTTGAGTTGAACCACTTAAATGGTTCTTTTCTGTGGAATCCAGTAGCTGCTTGTGGGATGTAGGAATGCCTTGTCCAATTAGAGCAGGAACTTCAGGCAAAGTGCACCAGGTTAGCAACATGAGTCAGACAGTAACCTTTTTTGTTTGTTAATGGAGTGAATGCATCATCAGGGTACAGATGAATGTGTGCTCTAATTGTCTTGGCAGGGAGGGGGGAGCTCTGGCCTGTGTCATGTCTTTAACAGAAATTACTGCAGCATTGTCATAAATTGATTGGAAATATTTTTTCCTCACATTACTCATGGGATGTCAACAAGTATGCAAATGTGAAAATTCGACATATGTCTGCTTGCTGCTTCTGCACGGTTTCTCACACCAGTTTAATGAGTAAAAACTGTCTTTTTTTAAAACGTCACTTCAAACTCAAGTCTTTTGGTGTTGAAGACCACCTCACTAATACTTCCTTAGTCTTGTGACAGGATGTGAAATAGTTCATTAATTTGTTCATTGCACACACTTGAACTGTAGCTTGGTTTTTGTCTTTGCTGTTCCTCGCCTGTCGTTAGAGTTTGTAATTTTGGTATTCCTCCTTGTTACACAATGTTGCACCTTTTTGGGCGTCTCTCTGTCTTTCCCCAGCGTATCAGTTTCCCATTGATCCTTCCTTGTAACACAGGGAAACCTCTTTTGATCTCTGCGGTGAATGCATTTATTTCGGAATGAACCCATAACGTAGTTACATTCTGGAAAGGCTTTCTGAGAGCACCGTAACCAGGGCTGGGGCGGCCATACAGACCTAGCAAGACAAGGGGTTATTCTGTGCTGTGCTCTTTAAAGCATAACTGGGTATTCAGGATGTATGGGCTGTGGCAGAAAAGCGTTTCTTCTCTGTCTCTTACATCTGTCTTAGATTTAGTCTACAACATTTATTGCCTAAAATTTGCATGGAAGTTGAACTGGGAAGAATTAAGTCAACTCTTAAGAAATGCTCTCTCCCCACAGTACTTAGAGAGTTCAAACTGAAAGTAGTCACATGTTTGAATTATATATATTTAATTTGAGAAAAAAGGGCACCTTTGCTTTTGAAGTTGGACAGAGAGTAAAGTAATATGTGTATGTATTGCATGCACAAAGTACAAACAACTAGTGAAAACCATTTTTAGGGAAGATCTCTGAGATTTTAAAATTTCACACTTGATAGGTCATTGCAATAATTACTGCTCCAGCAGAGCCTTGATGACAGTGATCACAGAGAACATGGCATTGGGTTTTGAAGAGGAAGACAAGTCCTCTCCCTCTCTTCTTTGTGTAGCTGTCTACAAGTTTTTGAAAATTAATAGAGAGAATTTTTAAAATAAGCATTGCTGTGTATTACTACATGCATTCAAATATATTTAACTTCTTAGAAACAGTGCAGCTAGCAAATATAAAAGACATCCTCCTTCTCATTCTCCTCCTTCTCCTTCTCCTCCTTCTCCTCCTT